AAAGGCTGATGGCAACAAAAAGGGAACAACTTCTTTAAAAAAAAGCAAGTTGTTTTCAAAATATTGGAGGGGGGGGTTAAATATCCTCTTAGCCCCCCCCCCCACCGCTGGCTACGCCCATGAACACTAATTACTGCATGAACAACACACACAAAAGCTGTGGCTTACATTGTGAGTTTTAATCTGTAATGAAAAAAAGGAATGTGTTTTGTTGTTAAGTTTGCCAAAAAAAATGAATAAATGAAGCGTACTTTCCGAGACAGAGAGAGAGAAAAAAATCATCTATTGGGCCAAAAAAAGTCTCCGGCTTCTGGTATGCGCGCGCGTCGCCGTAGCCATGCGCGTCGGCAAAATGAAAAAAAGTTTTTTTCAATAAAAGATGATGTCTCAAAACCGCCAAACTCACTGGTTTGACTGGAATCCTGCTGCTGCACAATTTAACGTACTTTTAGATGGGGTTATGGTCGAGAATAAGCTTTATGTGGCCTCTCTGGACTCCCATATATTTGCACTAAGATTAGTCGGGCACCATCAGCCGACATTTGAAGCAAAAAAAGTCAGGTAAAAAAAAAAAGCCGCGTCGCCGCACCACTTTTTGGGCAAGCTCCATACCAGAAACCGGAGACTTTTTTTTTGGCCTTGCCATAGGTGCTCTAGATTTGCAGATTCTGGTAACTTCGGCTATGTTTTTTTTAATATTGCATCAATAAACTTTGTAGTTCCTAATCTCTGTGGCACAGTCATGCCACCAGACTACTGAAGAAGTCAGTCTCTTCAAACAGTAGAACATGCATTGGTCTATTCTTAGGCTTCGAATCATTTTACTTTTCAGTTGCAAAAAAGTGTTCTTTAAAAATTGAATGGAGAAGTACCGAGGACCTTGCATTGGCCCCGTGAAATGTTTGGCAAATGTTGTCAGCTAAGAGTGAGCCAAGCTGGCCTAACTTACTTTATATGTTGTTCTGCACTCAAGGTCCCAGTCTTGGCCCATCCTATCTAAAGTGTCTCAACTGAACTGGAACACACGGTTGGGACGATCCTAGCCAAAGTTGGGAGTATGGTCAATTAAGTTGGGGCGAAACACTAAGAGATATGTTTAGTGTTAAATATACACACGCAATAATGTACGAAAATGAAGAACAGATGATCGCTTAAATTCGTTATGCAATCAGAAGGAATCGTATGACAGTTTCAACTGGTGCACCGCCCCCTAGGTTTGTGCACAAATTGCCTGGTTTGCTGTTCACACCCACGATGCAACGTGTAGGCCTATTGCTATTACTAATAATCATGAGCGCACACATAGTCTATACTATTTGTCATCATTCAAAATTTAAACTTGCGCAAACATGACTAAAAGTTAGCAAAAAATGTGTTGCAAAAAAAAAGTATGTCAGCATCTATACTCACTAGAGTTTGCTGAAAACAGTCCTCCGAACTTCTGTCCTGCCGATCGACTGAACTGCACCTTCAATATTGTAACTTTTAATTACAATTTGCAAGAGAGTGGTTGAAGTCCACAAAAGTAATGCAAGTTATTTCCTGTTTCGCAATGCCTATATTTCGCAATGCATTATGGAAATAACAGTTTTTCCCCAAAAAGTCTGGTCGATGAAAGAGCGCCCTCTTTTTGTTACGTTTATTTATTCTGACTCCAACGCCGTTGACATTGTCTCCAGCGGTACGAATGGCCTATGTAATAGACAACGGCGATTGCCGTGGCAGTGGTTGATTACATGTGAGCAGATTCGCTGAATACAAAAGGTAAGGCAATTATAGGTAAGGCAAAAAAAAAGGTCACCGGTTTCTGGTATGCGCACGCGTCGCCGTAGCCATACGCGTCGGCAAATTGAAAAAGTTTTTTTTCAATGAAAGATGATGTCTCAAAACCGCCAAACTCACTGGTTTGACTGGAATCCTGCTGCTGCACAATTATAACGTGTTTTTAGATTGGGTTATGGTCGAGAATAAGCTTTATGTGGCGTCTCTGGACTCCCATATATTTGCACTAAGTTTAGTCGGGCACCATTTGCAGTCATCAGCCGACATTTGAAGCAAAAAAATCAGGTAAAAAAAAAAAGCCGCGTCGCCGCAATACTTTTGGGGCAAGCTCCATACCAGAAACCGGATCCTTTTTTTGGCCTAAGGCAAGCCTTGTTAAATTGGTCCCAGAGTGCACAAATTCTATTCAATTGATTCAGAATGTTTGTAGTTGTATTGTGGTTACGTGACGGAAATGAAAATTCCCACTTTGCATGGAGATTTGACCTACGTATGATGATTGAATAAGAGATACCAGCGCACTCTTGGCATAGATGCTACGTGACACGAAAAGTAAGTTTCGTAAATCTTCGTATAATCCATGATTCTCAACCCCCCCCCCCCCCCCCCAAAAAAGGAAATGAGCCATGGCTGTAGCCAAACTTACAATTCAGTTCAGAGCGGGTTGATTCACAGACATCCAAGATGGCACTGACGCACTGCAGCTGCTACGCCCACCAATCTCATGACCACTTGACGGAATAACATTATGCAAAGTAGTCTCTCATTCAATCTCCTTATATGGCGTCGACTCAACCTTTACGAGTTAATGATTTACAAGTGACTTCGATATTCTATCATATGCATGCAGTTTCCACATGTATTTTCAACATTTTAAACTAGTCCTAATAAATGTGTGAGTATAATCGAAGTATATCTTAATACAAAAGTAGAAACCTGTTTGATTTAAATTCTTCAAAATCGCGTATCGATATAGGCATACGACTACAATTGCCCCATTAGGCCTACACAAAACTGGGTTTTCCCAAAGTGTTCTGAAGTCCACACTGAAGTGTTTTGTTTTTGGTCTGCCGTGCTGCAAAGATGTACAAAGTTGACGAGTCGGTGGGTGAATTTCCTTATCAAATGACGCAAATTCAAGTGTTTACAAGTGCTATTCTTATTAGCTCTAGCATCTATTCTATGCAAAATTAATTCACCTTTGAGCCTTTAGTCAACACGGTTGTACGTGAATAGGCCTACATAGCTGTAAAATACAACATGCAATAGCAATGGTAGATTGAATTACAATTTATCTATACATATATTTTAATACCGGCATTATGAAAAACTATAATATAATGCAGTTCCGCAGTTAAAAAAAAAGGTTTGAATAAGTACTTGGAAGTAGCCCTACATCCTGAGAATGACATTAATATCAGGGCTAATTCTACAAAAGCATCCAACATTTCACTTAGTAGATATTATTTAAATAGCGAATCTGAGATCTAATTAATCTAAGTTAACAATACTTTCGTCTCTCAACAGTAACATCTGGACAATGCTGTGATGCTTTCACCAAGAAATCCAGCCACACTTAAGTCCTCTCATGCAGGCCCATAAGACATCTTTTGGGTTGATGTTAAATTGTACACTTGAGTTAATTTTAACATGTTAAACTGAAGAAAAAAAAGTTTAAAAAAAATATCTCCCATTCTGTTGTCCGTCGTTTACTACACAGAATCTGAGAAAGTCATGTGGTGTAAGGTCAGTGTCCGTGTAATGGCATAGAAAACAGGACACCTTCTGAGCATTTTTTTCTAGGATAAAATCTGCAAAATACAAAGGTGCACACTGCACTTAACCGCGTTCGATTGCGCCCTCTATTGTCACAAATTTACTCTTGCTTTTTGTGACGCACACAAAAATATTCCAATCAACACAGTTGTTATGCATACCGGTTAAGCACACAGCCAAAAAACACTTTTAGCGTCTGTGGTGTAGCGCCACCAAGCAGCCGCGAGTGGAACAAACAGGCCGGTGTTAAAGATATAATGCAGACACGACAAATAAAAGAAAATACAGAGGTCTATGTCTGTTGATGAACAGAACATAGGGCTTTTCCCCATTTTTTATGTGTGTTTTTTTTTTTATTATAAATTTATGTTTTTTAGTCCATGTGTACTCAGGCTAATTCGGATGCAATTCCAGGTACGTACAATGTTCCATGAAATCCAAGGTCTTGTAACTCTCTAGCTATATGACTTTAAAATATGCACATTGAATATGACGTCACGTGACCCATGGTGACGTCCTTATAATGTCATCTCAATTTTTAACCCGAACACATCCCTGTCTACCTAAACATAAAGTTGTATAAAGTCAGGACACACCCCCGTCCACTCTGGGGCGAAGGGCGCCCTCACAGCCTTCACAGCCGTCGCAGCCTCCTTCCCAGGGATCACTCAGGTCTGTATTTGCTCACGGGGCTCGTCCAGGTCAAAAAAGAGCAAGTGATATTTTGAGTCGATCCCTAACAATCGACTAAGCACTTTTATGAAACACACATACAGATTGAGAAAATCCTGTTTATACATATTCATATTTATACTGAAGTCAGCAGTATGTCAGCCTTGTCGCTCCATATTTTTGTTTTTTTAATTCCATTATTTGTGTACGCAATGATTACATATTAGTCATAATTTCATATTGTCACAGAAATACTGGGGGAAAAAACTGAATTGTACAAAATCAACAATTTGAACAAATATCTTATTTTTAGGCCAAACAAAAAAAATATTCGTTCTCTGGTCAGACCAAAGTTCCTGAATTGACGCGGCCACGCGGCCTTTTTTTTTTTTTTTTTTTTTTTCAAGCTTGGATTGTACAGCCAAGGTGGGGTACTATTTTGCTTTTTTTGTGTCCTCATGTACATTGGTGTCCTCCAAAATTTGCCTTGGTGCTTTCGATCATTTGCCTTGGTGCAATTTCCCATTCCTTGGTGCTCTTTGGTAAAAAAAAATGGAAATAGAGGGCGCTGTTGGAGCTACCGCGGAACATTTTGGAAAAAAAAAGATCGACGCGCATGATTAAAATCGACGCACGCGCTGACCAGAGACCGACTTATTTTTTATTTTTTGGCCTTATTGGTACATTATAACTTCATTACAATTATAAGGGTGCTCTTCAATTCTTCAGATTTTGATATATTTTTACTACCAATACCAAGTTTATTAAGTGCCTTTATTACAGTTTGCGATGGGTATTTTGTTTTTGATCTTGGCAAACTGTAAATTCCATAGGTTTTCCCACTCTGTACTTAAATAGTTGTGTATATATTATCTTTGAATGCTATTTAATATGAGTAAGTGTAAAGAAATTAGGCATTTGGATTTGATTTGCAGTTTTTTTGTGATTGTTGATCGCAGATGTACATAGCGTGATTTGAAAATTCACATTCCGTCCAATATTCACAGCTTGCAGTTTTAACTTTAATGATGTGACTTGTTTTGACAAGTTTGCCTTTAGACCTTGTGATATTGAAATGTCCGTCCATAATCCAAGCATTACAAGTAAATAGCTTGTTGATTTCCGACTTCAATCTTATGGAACACACGACAAAGCTTGAAAGTATGAGATATGAAATAAAGCCTTTGGCTTTATACAGTCTTTGCAAGACTATCAATTGAGTAAAAACAAGGGTTGATATGATGGACTCCATACAAAGGTTTGTCATTGAAATGTTTTATTGGAAATGAGAGAAACTGGGTTTTTCCGATCTCATTTTCTAAGTTGAAGTTTAGTTAATTATAGTGGCCATGTTTCCTTCCTCTCAAAATATTTTCAAACAATAAACTAACATCCAGGAGAAATTTAACATTCAATATGGTAAAGGTTTTCAAAGTCGACGTTGTCAGTACTCCGCTGCGGTCGTTCTTGGAGGTCATTTTGTTCCTTAGATGCTGGCAGTTTCACAAGCGTAGCAGTGTGTGGTGATGCACGGGTAGCTGAGCCAGCCGCCGCCGAAATGCACGCTGGCGCAGTCGTACTCGTTGGGAGTGTTTTTCGGCTCGTTGGTCAGCCAGTTGTACAGACCGGTCGTTCCGTCCAGGGAGAAGTATTCGGTGTCGTCTCGGTCTTTCTCGGTGAATCTGAGAGAAAGAGAAGGCCATTTCTCTGTTAAGTTCATAGAGCTATATTAAATTACTAATACTACATTTTACGGCAGCCATTTTGAAGGAGGACCATTCCGATCCGATTGGTAAGTGACCGCATCATACATGTACGCGCACACGCCACTGAATACTTGCGCCCATTGGCTGAACGCGCAACTTCGTACTGCTTCCGGTTTCAATGATTTCAATGCTACTCTGTGTGCAGTGGGCGTTGTTTAAGTTTCATTGACGTCACACTTACGAACCGGATTGGTCGGCTAGTAGTCGATTGGTGACGTAACATGCGCCTGCGCATATAAACAGATACAGGTGCGGGCGGGATGACGTTAGCTGGATAAAAACACACATCCATTTGAGCACCAGTTTTCATCGGTTGCTACGTGTTACCATTCAGCAGTCCAGACTAACAAACCTTTGAGTATTAGTAAAATAAGTCTGGGAGCTAGATAAGCCAATTTAAAAAAAACAACAACATGCCAACCAAAATTCTGGTCAAAGGTTTCAAACAAGTAGGCTATTGTTGATATATCCTAACGTGGCGCGTCGCATGTGCTGCACTTTAATTTTTCGCCTTTAAAACGATTCTTATCGTTACATCGCGGAATGTTTATGAACGAAAAATGTGGTGAAAGGTTTTAGTATGGTACCTTAAGCAACCTCTCTCTCTGATCGCTACTGTTGCGTAGGGTAAGAAGTCAAGGAGGCAATCCTAAGGTAGCCTACTACTTTCCTTGTATATCGACCGCTTGGGTTAAAGTACGTGTGTTGCGCATGCGGCATCGCCGCGATGAAAAATCAACCAATGAGAGAAACTCATTTGGTTCATAAATATTCATATGAGATGTATCAGTAAGCTTACCCAAGCCACAACACGCTGCTGCACGTGTTGAAGTCCATGTCGTTGGAGATGACATCGCGCAGGTCACTCTTCTGACCCTCCCCCAAGGTAGCTAGTTGACCGCCCATGGCCGTGCAATCGTTACTAGCGTCGTACCAGTTCTTCAGTCGGTTGACGGCCATGTAACATCTGCACCCCGTCTGGCGCCTATCGGAAAACAACACAGGAGCACAATTACTCTAAACTGGGAACCCGACCAAAACGTTTGTGATATGTTTTTAATATGTTTTGGCTCACCTAATTATAGTAATTTAACAGATAAAATTCAGCAACACTTATGATAATACGTTTCTCTGTTAATGACATAATTTTTTTTTTAAACCAGGCACAGAAGTCACGAGACAATTTATGTTGAATATCATATAACGACATTCTATAATACCAAACGGCATCTGCGAGTTGGAGTGCAGCATTGGCTGAGGTAGGCCTAAATTGGTTAAGTGCATTGGCTAACCTTCAATAAAGCATTTCTAGGCGCAGTAGTGGGGCAGATAGGGAAAATATTTTGGTGGATGATGCTTTTGATGATACAAGCATGTCATTTGGCACACAGTCAGGGTATGTATCAAGAAAGATATTTGGCTAGGCATATAGGGCCATGGCAGATTTGTCCTTTGAAAAAAAATGTAGATGGATTAACAATAATCATCAAATCTGCGATGGCCCTATAGCCAAATATCTTCCTCATGAAATGCGTGGACTAAATGTCAAATGCCGTGCTGGTTTCATCAAAGGCGCTATCCACCACATATATGCGGTACTACAAGTACCACACTGCCCGGAAGACGAGAAAACCCAATGCCTTTGTTCTAATCTGGGCAAGGTTAAAAAACTACATTGTAATAGCTTTTGACAGCCATAATACAGCGAAAAATTGGCAGAATTCGGGTAAATAATTCAAGTACTTCTTCGAATTGGTTTACGCTTCATATTTGTATCAACGGTCTAGCTAGCTGTCCGAAAACTTGTATCAAAAAATCATAAATGACCCTATCTAAACAAGTCATAATTTACCAGACCTAGGCCTGTGCCTATGACAAATAAGCATTTTTAATGCTTATTTGTCATAGAAAGAAGTTTTTAGAAAGTTTACATTTTTATAATTTTGTCGGCAAAGCCCAAACTCAACATAATGATTATATAACTGACAGGTCTAATAGGGTATTGTAAGGATGTTCATTGATACGTACCATGGATTTTCGCCGGCCGGCGCCTCGGGGCACGCTCCGTGGACGAGTTGGCTAGTGGTCGCCACCAAAATGGTCGCCAGAATTAGAGCGTTCATGGTGTATTATACCGTACGTAGCAGAGCTCTGTCGATGGGAAACTGTGGTCAGTTGTGGTTCCAGCTGAGTTGTGGCTCGGCAACGGGCCGAGCACGGCCTTAAGTAGCAATTTTACGCCGGTAAGGTATGAGATTCACCGCAGATGACGGCCAGAAACAGTTAATCATTGAAAACGCGAATCCGAGCTGACCTATTAAAACATCTCATCAGGTTTGTGCTTGTCAAGTGTGGCGGTTTTTTTTCCATATGCATATCTGTGTAATCGTGACTGCTTCACATCTCACGGGTCATCCATCGTTCTGTCATATCACAATTTGGGCGGATGGAGGGCGCAAGCTTTGCAGAACAAGCAAAACATAATTTCGTTGGCCTTTTTCTCTTGTCGAGTTTATACTGCTTAAATTACAAGTTAGAAACTAGCTTCGTAGTAGATTCGTAGTGGCTCACGCAGACAAATTTACTTTGAGTACACGCACGTAAACCATTGAAAACTTTATTTTCCTTTTCTAAAAGATTACTGCATGTTGGCTGTCAACAAGGCCGATACATCACGCCTCTCATTAAAATAAAAACCACAAAAAGAATCGGACAAAAACACTTCGTCAAATCGTGGTGCAGTCACTAATAACTCAATAACACGTAGTTCCTTTATCTTCGTTAATCAAATAACACAAAGTGATATCGCCATATGGCCTCAATCCATTCTTTTTTATCGTGATTGCGCATGTCAAAGGGCCTTTGATGGTTCAACAGATAAACAAAATATTATCAGGTGAAAGCTGTCATTTAAAATGTATTTTGGCATTTTTATCAATGAAGAATCGCTTTGTTTATTAAAAGGAATGATTTCATAATCGAAATAAAATGCTGACATTGCGTTAGGTGTCATCTATCTAAACGTCTATCTTATCTTAACGGACATCACCACTTCTGGATCGCAACTTGGTTGTTCCATTTTTCAAGAGGGGTGAATTCTACCGTCTGACGCGATCGAGTCTTCATTCAATTCGAAAATTCAGTCTGTAAACGGTGGTCTGTATTTGGGGATATTTTATTTAAAAGTTTATAGAGCGAGTAGTGCCGAATGGGTATTTAATAATTTAACAAATATTTCTTATTGATACATAGAGAATAAACTCCCCTGCCCTTTTCGACCAATCCTACAACTCTCTAGATAAGATAACGCCCTCTGTTGTCCGCATAAAGATAATTTTTAAGCTTAAATTAGCCGTTTGAGTCGCGCACGCAACGAATCTTAGGGTCGCCAAGCGACGCCGAGTGGGTCTAATCGCCCCGCCCCAAGTTAAAGAGCAACAATAAAGTCAGAGAAGTGAAAGGTTTTAGTGACATTTTTTTTTAATAACAGCCACCTCAGTCTGAGGTTTTGTTTCGCCCCAGTGAAGTTATCATGTCTCTATATGTATAATGTTTTGTTAGATTGACAGCTGGTTGATAGCTTTGAGTAAATTTGTTAAAATATGGATTGTGTTCACAAGCAGCACAGCATATGAATCCAAATACATGTTAAAGGCATACCTGGCTTGACCAAAGACCACTCAACTGACAGCAGATTGACAGCAGACCAGCACGGAGAGACTTAAGACCATTCTAGTGGCGACCACAGGCCAACTCGTTTTATCTGGCCAGTTTGTCCCAACACCGAGCCAGACCTGGTATATGCGTGTGAGAAAGATGGCAAAGTTGTAATTAACAGTTTGGGCAAGGGCCTACATTTCAACTAAACTTGGGACATGGGACATTTGACACAAAAACACGGCAGAACTAGCTTTTGACGAGGCACATGGGTCATTCCATGTCAGACCAACGCACTTTTTTACCTCATGTCTTCCGATTTTGATAAAAATTGCTGTGCTTGTAGGTCCTAATGAGCAATGAATACACACCAATTTTTAGCCCGATCCGACCTACCATGTGGTCAGGGTAGAAGCCACAAAAAATTGGCATTTTTAGAGTAAAATACCACCCTTTTGGTATAAATATGTCAAAACTATAGCAATTTTCATCGAATATATGTGAATTTGGTATTAAAATAATGAGGATTGCATGCTCAAAGCACTTCTTTTGTCAAAATTAAATTTTGTGAAAAGTAGGTCACGTGACCTTTAATATGCTATCGTGACCTTTGACCCAATTTTTGTAATAATGTATCATTCCGAAAATCAACGAAATAAAAATAACTTGCTAGAGCATGTCTTCTTCTATCAGAATCTACTAAAAATCAGTTGGGGTCTTCAAAATTTACAACTTTATGACTGTTTTTGTACAGTTCGTAGGTTACAAATGAGTCAATTTATCGACTTTACATAAGAAATACACCAACACAACTTAATATTCTGTTTCTTAAGTTACTAAAATATATCTTGGTTTGTGAATTTCTCATTCTGAGGGCTGACGAGGTCTAACCAGACTCATAGTGTAAATTATTAGCAGTGGCGCACCCAGGATTTGGCTTTTGGTGGGGGGGGGGGGGGGGGTCATAAATCGTTTTTTGTTCAAATTTCTGTAAAAGATTGGACCGACAAAAACTAGCCTAAAATTAAACAAACAAATTGACAATGTTGGGGGTGGGTTCAAGCCCCCCCCCCTCCTGGGTCCCACTGATAATTAGTTATCCCACGAGCGCGCTTGGAATATGAAATAATGCAATGCTGCTGTGACCCATATGCCACTCGATGCATTACATAATTCCGTGTTCCACGAGCGCAAGTGGGATTTATAACCAATTTATCTTCAAGCAAACTTGATATCAAATGCGTACACGCCGTGAAGATGTACATGTACGTGCATACATGTAGTGTATTGGTCCGTTCAGCAGGAAATAACACAACATATGTACACGTACATTTTTAATATCTGGGGTGCAATATAGATGTGCAATATTATATAAAATCACACAGCTGTTGCTATAGATGGACTAATCAGGGTCTAGGATTCAAGTTTGCTTGAAGATAATACTTAATATTACAATCAAAGTTCCCTTTAGGCCTACTCATTCATCACTGTGCTTCTTGAACTTTTATTACTCTCACAGACTTGGCATTTTGTTTCTTTGAGATGAATTTCACCTGGACGCGAGTCCGCTGTACTGGGTGAAGGCCTGGTTACTGTTAGTGGTTAGCACACTTCCGAGTCCAGATATTCTGATTAGACAGTTTCTTTGGAATCAGAAGGTAGATTTTTTTTTCCTGGCTTTGTACTTTATACATTAAAATCTAGATTAATTTTAGTAACTTAAGAAACAGGATATTAAGTTGTGTTGGTGTATTTCTTATGTAAAGTCTGTAAAATGACTCATTTGTAACCTACCAACTGTACAAAAGTAGTCATAAAGTTGTAAATTTTGAACCCACCCCCAACATTGTCAATTTGTTTGTTTGATTTTAGGCTAGTTTTTGTTGGTCCAATCTTTTACAGAAATTTGAACAAAAAACGATTTATGACCCCCCCCCCCCCCCCCACCAAAAGCCAAATCCTGGGTGCGCCACTGCTGATAATTTACACTATGAGTCTGGTTAGACCTCATCAGCCCTCAGAATGAGAAATTCACAAACCAAGATATATTTTAGTAACTTTAGAAACAGAATATTAAGTTGTGTTGGTGTATTTCTTATGTAAAGTCTACAAATTGACTCATTTGTAACCTACCAACTGTACAAAAACAGTCATAAAGTTGTAAATTTTGAAGACCCCAACTGATTTTTAGTAGATTCTGATAGAGGAAGACATGCTCTAGCAAGTTATTTTTATTTCGTTGATTTTCGGAATGATACATTATTACAAGAATTGGGTCAAAGGTCACGATAGCATATTAAAGGTCACGTGACCTACTTTCACAAAATTTAATTTTGACAAAAGAAGTGATTTGAGCATGCAATCCTCATTATTTTAAAACCAAATTCACATATATTCGATGGAAATTGCCATAGTTTTGACATATTTGTACGAAAAGGGTGGTATTTTACTCTAAAAATGCCATTTTTTTTGTGGCTTCTGCCCTGACCACATGGCAGGTCGGATCGGGCTAAAAATTGGTGTGTATTCATTGCTCATTAGGACCTACAAGCACAGCAATTTTTATCAAAATCGGAAGACATGAGGTAAAAAAGTGCGTTGGTCTGACATGGAATGACCCACATCCGAAAATGAATGACAATAAATTTAATGGGAGCGTATCCACATTTGCTATCTCCATGTGGGGAGTCAGATTGGTGCAGTGGTACTTTCCTTGTCTTCCACCTCTTAGTCTCGGGTTCGATATCCACCCAAACCCCATGGGTTACATTTTCTGCTTCTGTGCTGTGGGTTCCCTGAAGTAAATATCCTTCTCTGAGAGTTTGCTGCAGACCTCTTCAATCTACATGTCACGTTGCTTCGCAGTTTAGAATTCATATTTTTGTTGCTAATAAGCAGCCATAGTTTGGATTGGTTGATTATCGAGTGAAAAACATGTTCCAATCTTGATTTGATTTTCTGCTACCCTAGTACTAGTAGTAGCAGACCTTTCCACACATTTTTGTATCATGGCGGTCCAGTAGTTGAGCCACATTTATGGGGCTAAATAATTAAGTAGCACCCACACTTCAAATTCCTTGATGTAACCTTCAGTCTACGAAGTATAAATAACACTTCGAATCGCCGCACAAATCCTTTGTGTTATTAAACTCAGTGTTAGCAGGCAGATTCAGTCACACTTCACTGCGCCTTACAGTGCTGTTTCTTGTGCAGTGACTCTCTGTGTGACACAGTTACTTTCACTTGAAACTGACCTGCAGGGTTTTTAAGGGTTTTTCATTTCATTCTGAATAGTGACTTCCCACTAGGGTTAATAAGACCTTACCTTATCTCGTTTCAGATACTCGGACATTGAGAAGGACGAGGGTTTCCAAGTTTGTTCAACTTGCAATAACCGGGACATAACACTTCCTCGTGTGTACGACACACGACTTGAAAAGATGGCGGTAATACCCACAATGCTTTGGGAAGTTTGCGTAGTCACGAGAGGGCGCTCTTAGATAAGGACAGTAGGAGTTACTAAGATCCAGTTCAGGTTTTTGTAGCACAAATAATCGAAACTTAATTATTTTTTTTGAAATGTGTGTCTTTGCTTGTCAGAGTCAGGAAAAAAAATAAGAACGAGAAATATCTGTGGATCTGAAAATGAAAATGGACTAAATGGCTGGAAAAAATGGGCCGTTCTCCGTTTGAACTTTGACACGTTTATAGGCCCACTTAGAAATAGACCAAGCAGATTTTATTAAAAATTAGCTAGTCAAGTACACCTTTTATTTGAATGCAATTATCTTGTATAAGGAACCAAACTATGTCTAGCCTACAGGAAAAGTTAAATGCGTGCATATTAGATTTCTCCATGTGCTTTAGTTTAGATTTAGATTGTATTTTCTTCGTTTCCATGGTTTTCTTGGGCTCGCTTATATAATGGTTTTATATTCCAGTTACCTTGTAAAAGTTCCCCCCCCAAAAAAATATAAATATAGCAAAATTGAAACACCATGCAATATTATACACATATAGACTGGCATTGAGGTCACTAGTGCATATCTATGCGCTCCAAGGGACTGTGAGTGACCAGAAGAGGGTCCTATTTCCAGAGGCCGAAGGCCGGGGGAAATAGGACCCTCTTCTGCTCACTCACAGGCCCGAGGGGGCATAGACGTGCACAAGTGACCGATTTATGCTGATCCATAATGTGTTTTACAGCTCGCCAGTGTCCAAAATATAAAATAAGAAAAGAAACATTGAAATGTCATGGTTTTATAGTTGAAATGTTTTATTCAACAATTAAGTCATAACCAATTCAATTATAAGTAATTCATCAATTAAAGTAAAAGTTTTCCTAGATAAATTTTGCATTTCATTTTTGGAGAGGGCGCTGTAACCAGTCAAACAATTTTGTGGATAGTGCCCGATCGATCAGGCACTATACTCCGGAAATTACGAGCGCGCGATGTCTTGACGCGCGTCTATAGTTCAAGATGACGCAAATGTCATGCACTTGCCTACAATGAAGCACACGTGACCGTGTTTCAGACAACCAGGATAAAGAACCAGCTGGAGGTGTGTTATAAAACAGAATACGATTAAAACAAAATGATCACACTAGCAACAATAATTGTGAAATACAAACATGATGCATTTTACCAGAATGCACGCCCATACTCAATCAACCTATTAGCTTTATAAGTACATCTTTCATGCCATGTGTAAGAGTATATCAATGTGAACAAAGATGTGTTACCAGGACTCATGCCCATACATCTACTCCATCAGGTTATTACTTGCATAAAAGGACATCTTTCCCGTCATGTTTAAGAGTATATCAGACTGAAAAAAGATATAAATGCAAAACAGATAAATATAACAAAATCCGTTTTTGATTAATTTATCGTCTTTTGTAAATTATCTTCAAAAGAACTTCGTCAATAAAGTCAAACTTTCAACATTTTCTACATCTGCAACGCATAAACTGTAATTGACATCATACTTGATTTACATCCACATTAATTTGGTGGTCTTCTTTTTTATTTAGAAAATATGTAATCTTTGTTGTCCCCACCTAAAAGTCTGGGGACCAGTAACTAGCTCCCACTCAAAGCCATAAATGGGATGATCCCTGCGCGTGCGCAGCATGATTGTTTATTTTTGAATCCTAGGCACAATTTAACACATGGTTGTCAAAAAACTGACTCTTGTCTTACCATAAAAAGTTCGCAAAATTGCCAGTGTCTCCATAAAAGTAACTTTCAAAGGATTCCAATTGCTTATTGCTTGGGTTTTAAACACTAAACACTAATGTTCCTCTCTATTTATTGATATTTGCCAGAGGCACGTTCGAATTCAGCAAGAAATCGAAGCGCATCACCTCCAAAATTGCACATTCGTTTGCCTATGGCCATTTTTGCAATAGGCTGGTTGCGTGCAAATATTACCGTTGTGAATTTGAATTAAGGAGGTGGGATTCAGACCTATGCATGTCCTGCATATAATTTGCATACATTAGGAGGAAAGGCTCCTAATGTATTCATGATTCACTGCTAGCTACCTGTCCCCATATTGGAAGTCCGAAGGACAATGGGGACAGGGAACCAGACTAGGATCCCCACCCCTTCAACAATTACTGCTTCACTTGCAGTTTTGTTTAAAATAGTGCTCTTCACACCGATTTTAGCACCAACATTTATACAACATATAAATGAAATATAAATATGTGTTCTTATCAGAGAGACAATTATTTTACATTATTTACAGTATTATTACCAGTATTGTAGTTTACTGGATGAAGTAATCCCAAAAGCACTAAATACTCAATGTTTTCAAGGTTTTTACACAAATACCATAACATAACTGTCATGCCAACCAGTCTATACAAAATATAATTCTCTTTACAAAAATGTACATGCATTTACCATCAGTGGTTGGATGAACCCCAAAACTACTCAAAAGATACTCATTGTTAGTAACATTATACATAAATACAACTGTAGTCTGATTAAAGAGGTTGTGGAATGCTCGAAGACATTTCCGTCATTTTTCGGGTATATGTAGCCTAAGGTGTGATGAAATAAAAACGACTATTGTTTCTGTCATGAAATGAGTACAAAAGGTACTTTTGAGAGCTGTTTTTCAGGTCCAGTTTCGACCCGAACGTGCAACTGTGTAAAAGTCGTCGTTGCGGGCAGCAAACAAAACACAGTAAATCGTGACGTAATAAACAGGACTCGTGTATGCTACTGTGCATCGGGAGTCCTGTTTATTACGTCACGATTTACTGTGTTTTGTTTGCTGCCCGCAACGACGACTTTTACACAGTTGCACGTTCGGGTCGAAACTGGACCTGAAAAACAGCTCTCAAAAGTACCTTTTGTACTCATTTCATGACAGAAACAATAGTCGTTTTTATTTCATCACACCTTAGGCTACATATACCCGAAAAATGACGGAAATGTCTTCGAGCATTCCACAACCTCTTTAACAAGTTTTAACTTGTGAAGGAAATGGACCAAACCACCCATACAGCCTCAGTGTTTGATAAGAAATCAACGAGTACCATGCATCACCTGTGTCTCAACTTAGTGGGGTTTTCATGCACACACGTACAATTTGAAGGCTATTATAATTTTGATTGTCAGTTTGAAAGTTTGCAGATGCACAATCAGCAAATCATTTACACTCTAAAAAGCCCTGGGTCAGATTGGACCCGAAATCCGGGTCAGATTTGACCTGACACTTTTCCGGGTCAAAACGACACTTCCCAGTTACGGCCACCCTTCCGGCCATTTGACCCTAATACTGATTGCCATTTTCAAACAAAGATTGTCGTTCTGATAACAGAAGAGTCTATTTTACAGGGGGGATGTTAGTTTGACACAGAAGTATGTCAGGTCTTTTCTGACCCGGATTCGAACTTGACCCGGGACGTATAAGAGTGAAAGTTTAGCTCCATGGTTTGACTGATGACAAACCATTGTGTCAAACGTAGAGGATGAATCGCCTAACACGCAGCGTGACTCTGCTAACAATCTGAATCAACAATGTGTTGCGATGTTTATTCTTGAATTACAAACGGACATCCTGGAGCGACACAGAGTTTTAATGATCTGTTTTGTTCTTTGGAATTTGCACAAGTACCCGATTTCATAGCGTTAGTCTAGTTATTGTTTAAGGAAAACACAAAGTTCACATTTGGCCAAAAACAAAACCGTTATCATGGCTCAGAATTATGTTTTTTACGGCAAATGTGGTCGAGATTAACGTCCCAGTTTCCAGGACTCTTCATTAGCTGTTTCGGCAAGTCAGCTTAGATAGCTCTTGCTTTCGTAAATGTTTCGTTAACTTTAAAGAGGGTACCTTGCTAAGGCCTATGGCTCCGTACACCAAAACCCCTTCAATGGCCAGAAAAAGGAGACATGGGGGAGACCTAGACTGGTTCCCGGTCTATCCATTGCAGACTTCGAATGTATCCAAAGTTATGCGGGCGGGGATTAGTCTGGGAGACCATCGAAAGAGACATGGAGACCATTGAAAGAGACATTGTGGCTAATAGCTTAGGCACATTCACGTAGTCGTGCGTACTTCGCGTGCGAACAAGAAGAGTACGTATGCACACGCTGTGTGTCTCGTCCACCGGGCTCTCAAAAGTAGTGAAAAAGCGCCCTATTTGCTCACGCACGGCGCATATATCTAAAAAAACTATGAGTCCGATTTGGTTGTAACTTGATATGTACCCGGGATTTTCATGGTTAAGAAATTATATGACGTCATGATGTCGTCATTACATGTCATGTGACGTTCCATTAAAGGGGCATATTTCTAAGGCCTTTATCTATAGAACTGAAGGTCGGATTTGTTGTAACTTGGTAAGTTGGTTGTAGGTACTAAGACCGGGATGTGTTACGGACTAAAATTGAAGTGCCGTCACGATGACGTCATCACAAGTCATGTAACGCCACTTGAAATGGGCCATTTCAAATATCTTTATCTATAGATATAGTGTTATTAATGAAATTTGAAGTGACGTCGTCATGTCATCATCACGTCACTGTCATTTCAAACAGCCGAAACAGCTTGTGTTTGTCCACTCATTTCAAGTTAAATTTAAATTTTGTAAGTATGTTCAGAATACTCAAATGTTCTGAACTTCCTTTTTTAATAGTACTTTCTTGTCAAAAAAATGTTTCCTTGTATTGAGGAAGTCAACATTTGTAGAGTTTGTTATGATTCAGGAAACTGAGGTTCAATGTGAACCCTAATCGACGGGAAACGGGACTGTAACTTATCCAATCTGCCCAATGATCCCGGGTTGCCACCAAGGTACAAGTCAGTCAGTCTGATGGGCATGTCATGTGCAGCGTAGGCAATGTGTTCAATGTCTGACGGTGTCAAATCGCAATTGCTCAAGTCCAGCCTATTTACGTGAGTCATTTTCGGCAATTCCTTTGCCCACATTTTAGCTAATCCACCCAATTTCGGGTTGCCATTAAGGATCAAGTCAGTCAGTCTGGGCATGACACGTACAGCCGAGGCAATGAATGCAATGTCTGACGGTGTCAAACAGCAAACGCTCAGGTCCAGCCTATTTAAGTTCTTCATTGTCCACAAGTCATTGGACCACAGCTCAGCCCGTTCGCCCAACGCTGTGTTGCCAACAAGAATCAAGTTAGTCAGTCTGGGCATTTTATCTACATCAGAAACAATGTGTTGAATGTCTGCCCATTGCAATGCACAACTGCTCAGGTTCAACGTCTGAACGGTCGTCAATTTCGACAAATTCTCGACCCACAAGTGGGCCGATTCCCCAAATGCTGTGTTGCCGGAAAGATTCAAGGTAGTCAGTGTGGGAATGTGGTTTAACACAACACAAATCGTGTCAACATCTTCCCACTTAAGAGAGACATTGCTCAGGTCCAGCGTGTGTTTTTGCTTCACTCTTAGCAAGTGACGGGACCACTTCTCAGTCGACTCGCCAAGTGCCGGGTTATCAGAGAGGATCAAGTCAGTTAGTTCTGGCATGTCACCTACAGCAGATGTAATGCGTTGAATGTCAGTCCACTGCAATGTACAACTGCTCAGGTTCAACGAGTGAACGGTCGTAAATTGTGGCAAACTCTCGGCCCACAAGTCAGCCGATTCCCCCAACGCTGTGTTTCCGGCAAGGATCAAGTTAGTCAGTCTGCCCATGTCACACACAGCCGAGGCAATGAGTTCAATGTGTGTCCATTGCAATGTACAATTGCTCAGGTTCAACGTCTGCATGTTCGTAAATCGCGACAAATTATTGACTACATATAACTCAGCCGACCCTCCTAACGATGAGTTGCCGGAAAGGATCAAATCAGTCAGACTTGGCATGTCAGACGAGGCAATTTGTTCAATATCCGTCCATTGCAATGTACATTTGCTCAGGTTCAACGTCTGTATGGTCGTAAATTGCAACAAATTCTTGGTCCACAAATCAGCCGATCCCACAAACGCTGTGTTGCCGGTAAGGATCAAGTCAATCAGGCTTGGCATGTTACTTACAGCCGAGGCAATGTGTTCAATATCTGTCCATAGCAGTGCACAGTTGCTCAGGTCTAACGTCTGTATGTTCGTAAATAGCAACAAATGTTTCGCCCACAACTCAGCCAATCCCCCTAACGCTGTGTTACTGGCAAGGATCAATTTAGTCAGTGTGGGAAGGTGATCTAACACAACGTAAACTGCACCAACATCTTCCCACGTTAGTGAGAAATTGCTCAGGTCCAGTGTGTGTCTTTGCTTCACTCTTAACAAGTAACGGGACCACTTCTCAGTCGATACGCCAAGTGCCGGGTTATCAGTGAGGATCAAGTCAGTCAGTCTGGGCATGACACCTGCAGCTGAGGCAATGTGTCCAATGTCTGTACACTGCAATGTACAACTGCTCAGGTTCAACATTTTAACGGTCGTAAGTTTTGACAAATTCTCGGCCCACAAGTGGGCCGATTCCCCCAACGCTGTGTTGCCGGTAAGATTTAAGTTAGTCAGTGTAGATATGTGGTTTAACACAACACAAATCGTACCAACATCTTCCCACTTTAGAGAGAAATTGCTTAGGTCCAGCGTGTGTTTTTGCTTCACTCTTAACAAGTAACGGGTCCACTTCTCAGTCGATACGCCAAGCGCCGGGTTATCAGTGAGGATCAAGTCAGTCAGTCTGGGCATGACACCTGCAGCTGAGGCAATGTGTCCAATGTCTGTACACTGCAATGTACAACTGCTCAGGTTCAACATTTTAACGGTCGTAAGTTTTGACAAATTCTCGGCCCACAAGTGGGCCGATTCCCCCAACGCTGTGTTGCCGGTAAGATTTAAGTTAGTCAGTGTAGATATGTGGTTTAACACAACACAAATCGTACCAACATCTTCCCACTTTAGAGAGAAATTGCTTAGGTCCAGCGTGTGTTTTTGCTTCACTCTTAACAAGTAACGGGTCCACTTCTCAGTCGATACGCCAAGCGCCGGGTTGTCAGTGATGATCAAGTCAGTCAGTCTGGGCATGTCACCTACAGCCGAGGCAATGTGTTCAATGTCTGTCCATTGCAATGTACAACTGCTCAGGTTTAACGTCTTTATGTTTGTAAATCGCAACAAATTATTCGCCCACAAGGCAGCCCATCCACCCAACGCTGTGTTGCCGGCAAGGCTCAAATTAGTCAGCAAGGGAAGGTGGTCTAACAGAACGGAAATCGTACCAACATCTTTCCACGGTAGTGAGAAATTACTCAGGTCCAGAATGTGTTTTTGCTTTACTCTTAACAAGTAACGGGACCACTTCTCAGTCGATACGCCAAGCGCCGGGTTGTCAGAGAGGATCAAGTCAGTTAGGTTGGGCATGTCACCTACGGCCGATGCAATGTGTTCAATATCTGTCCACTGCAATGTACAGTTTTTCAGGTCAATCGTCTCAACGGTCGGAAATCGCGACAAATTCTCGGCCCACAAGTGGGCCGATTTCCCCAATGCTGTGTTGCCGGCAAGAATCAAGTTAGTCAGTCTGCACATGTAACTTACAGCCGAGGCAATGCGTTCAATGTCTTTCCACTGCAATGCACAATTGCTCAGGTTCAACGTCTGAACGGCCGTCAATTGCGACCAAGTCTTAGCCCACAAGTGGGCCGATCCACCCAATTTTGTGTTTCCGGCAAGAATCAAATTAAGTAGTGTGGGAATGTGGTTTAAAACTACAGAAATCGCACCAACATCTTCCCACTTAATTGAGAAATTTCTCAAGTCCAGCGTATGCTTTTGCTTCACTCTTAACAAATAACAGGACCACTTCTCAGTCGATACGCCAAGCGCCGGGTTGTCAGAGAGGATCAAGTCAGTTAGTTTGGGCATGTCACCAACAGCCCATGCAATGTGTTTAATGTCTGTCCATTGCAGTGTACAGTTGCTCAGGTTCAACGTCTGTATGTTCGTAAATCGCGACAAATTCTTGGCCCACAATTTAGCCGATCCCCCCAACGGTATGTTGCTGGCAAGGATCAAGTTAGTCAGGCTTGGCCATCCACTTACAGCCGAGGCAATGTGTTCAATGTCTTTCCGAGACAAGTTAATATTGCTAAGGTTCAAAGTCTGTATGTTCGTACATCGCAACAAATTCTTCGCCCAAAACTTAGCCAATCCCCCTAACGCTGTGTTGCCGGCAAGGATCAAGTAAGTCAGTGTGGGAAGGTGGTCTAGCACAAAGGAAATTGCACCAACATTTTCATACGTTAGTGAGAAATTGCTCAGGTCCATAGTGTGTTTTTGCTTCACTCTTAACAAGTAACGGGACCATTTCTCTGTCGATACGCCAAGTGCCGGGTTATGGGAGAGGATCAAGTTAGTTAGTTTGGGCATGTCACCTACGGCCGATGCAATGTGTTCAATGTCTGTCCATTGCAATGTACAACTGCTCAGGTTTAACGTCTTTATGTTTGTAAAATATTGCATCAAATTCTTGGCCCACAAGGCAGCCCTTCCGCCCAACGCTGTGTTGCCGGCAAGGCTCAAATTAGTCAGTGTGGGAAGGTGGTCTAACAGAACGGAAATCGTACCAACATTTTTCCACGTTAGTGAGAAATTACTCAGGTCCAGTGTGTATTTTTGCTTCACTCTTAACAAGTAACGGGACCACTTTTCAGTCGATACGCCAAGTGCCGGGTTGTCAGAGAGGATCAACTCAGTCAGTCTGGGCATGTCACCTACAGCCGAGGCAATGTGTTCAATGTCTGTCCATTGCAATGTACAACTGCTCAGGTTTAACGTCTTTATGTTTGTAAATCGCAACAAATTATTCGCCCACAAGGCAGCCCATCCGCCCAACGCTGTGTTGCCGGCAAGGCTCAAATTAGTCAGCAAGGGAAGGTGGTCTAACAGAACGGAAATCGTACCAACATCTTTCCACGGTAGTGAGAAATTACTCAGGTCCAGAGTGTGTTTTTGCTTTACTCTTAACAAGTAACGGGACCACTTCTCGGTCGATTCACCAAGTGCCGGGTTGTCAGAGAGGATCAAGTCAGTTAGGTTGGGCATGTCACCTACAGCCGATGCAATGCGTTGAATGTCTGTCCACTGCAATGCACAACTGCTGAGGTTCAACGTCTGAACGGTCGTAAATCGCGACAAATTCTCGGCCCACAAGTCGGCCGATCCTTGCAACGCTGTGTTGCCGGCAAGGTTCAAGTCAGTCAGGCTTGACATGTCGGCTACAGCCGCGGCAATGTGTTCAATGTCTGTTCCCTGTAGTTCGCAGTCACTTATTTGAAGTTTGTGGAGGCTTGTTAAGTGTTTTATATGATCGGCCCATTCTATTGTTCTACTACCCAAGTTATTGTCACCCTTTATGCAAAAATTGGTCCAGGGTTGGTGGCATTTCAATGACGACAGAATGTCCTCAAGATCACCCTTCACTAAAGGAAACTTCGTCAAGTACACACACTTTCCCCGCATGGTGATTTTTAACGTAGTGGCCGTAGATACCGAAGAATCAGAAATATTTTCAACAGAGCCCAGCGCTGGCTGGACGTATTCTGCGGTCCTACCTGCAAATCTTTTGTCGCCATTTATGAAAAGATCAGCCGAACGTTGGTTGCATTTGATGCACGACAGGATTTTCTTAAGATCACCGTTTACTAGAGGACATTCGTCCAGCTCCAGAGCCCTAAGGTTTTCCATGTAACCCAGTGCGAAGGCTAAATCCCCGACCGAAGTCACCGAAGAAACGTTAATAGTTTCAACGCATGCCAGTTGTGCCGTGCGGCTCTCGGACCTACAGATGATTTCAAGAAGGTATATGAGACTGCGGAAATTGTTACTCTTATCCACATCGATAGTTGATGGGATATGTGAGTCGCTGGTGAGACACCGTGGGGCCTTGCTTGACTGGCTTTCAAAAAAGCAGTTCCGACTAATCGCTTGGATAACATGTGATTGGTACATAGGCTTATGTCGATCCTTATTGAACTTTCGGTCAAGCAGTTTAACGATATCGGTCATGCACTTCTCATTCTCACCACAACAAAAACGAAAGAGAAACTCATTCGAAACAACGCCCTCAATACTTGAACATATTCGACCCAAAATCTTGTTATACTTTAATTTGTTCTTCACACTTGTAAGCCTTCCTTGGGTTGAAAGTTTTAAACTCTGCAAGTATTTTGCTGCACAGCATTCCTGCATAGTCTTGTGCATGAATTGAATGTTCCTATGGGATTTGCTGTTTTTGATAACTCTCTGCTTGGTTAGGATGCCCGCTTTTAGTGCAAGGTCCAATGCACTCGGTTTAAACTCATCTTCCTGGAATGACGATTTCTGGCTGGAACTGATAAGTCCACACAGCGCAGTTTTTCCAATGAAAATCACTGTTTTTGAACCATCTTCTCCTGAGATATGTTTTCTTGTGAACATGTGATCAATTGCCTCGGTGAACAGGCGTGAAGTTGTTTCTGGGAGTTGTTTACTCTCCCTCCACAACAAGCACATGAGAAGGAGCAACATAGGTGTTTTAGCAAAATCACGCAGTGTGTTGGACTTTCCAATGGTTTTGATTAGTGCATTGCCACTATCAGAATCTTTGTCATAGAATTTTCGAACGTATTCATTGACATCCTCGTCAGTAAACCCCAGAACTTCTACATGTGTGCAAGGATTTTGGACAAGTGATGTTGACATCAGTGTCTCAAGATGAGAAGGGCGTGTCGACACACAGATGAAACAGTCCCGGTATCGTGTTCTATTCAATGCTTTTAGGACAGAACCGAATGAGTCTGCATTGAGTGTTTTGGTCCGCATTTCATCAAAACCATCCAAAAGAATCAAAACCTTATTTGGGTTAGCCAGGATGAATTCATCAAGTTCATCTTTTGCTATTCCCGAATCTTCGCCGAGAAGTTGATCAAAAGTGGAATCAACAATGTCAGAGTCTTGCAACAGGGCACACATCTTTAAAAGAAAGACAAGCTGGAATCTTATCAGGAATTCGCTTGCCTCATCGGCCCAGTCAAATGCAATCTTATCAAAAATGGTTGACTTCCCCACACCTCCCATGCCATAGAAAATGAGACGTGAGATGAGTTCCCCAACTCTTGTCCTTAATCTGAATATTTTGGCATACTCTGTTGAGTTTACAGTGTCTCCTTTTTGGCCAGTGACAACTGCTACCCCTTCCCGTGTTTCTAACTGTACTTTAGTGTATATACCAGCTATGTGCATTTGGTCATTATCAATCCCAGGCAACAACTGAACGTAACTGCCTGTTGTTTTATAAACTCCCTTCAAAATGTCCCTAGTCTTTTTACCGACATCTTGGAAGCTAGGTGCCCGCAGCCTTGGTTCTTGGTCTGGCCTCTGACTATGCTGAGGTCTGGGTGCAGGCACTCCTATTCAGATCAAAACAAGAAGCATATATTGCTTTAAGAAACTGTGTTTCTGAAACGGATTGAATAGTTTTCCTCAACGGAGGAAAATACGTTAAGGAAACTATGACTTGCATTTTCCAGTATGTTAGAAAAGTACTGCACAACAATAAATAAATTTGCCCAAAAATAAATAAATAAATGTTTTTGCTTTTGTACAGGGTGAGTAAAAAAAGAGGCGGAACCCAAACCCCCGAAAAAAAATTCATAAAAAAAAAATCAGTTTAAAAGTTAAAAATATGCATTAAAAAAGTCCTTTTGAAGGCCCTTCTTTAACAAAAGTGGATTTTACAAATCATATTGTTTGCCTCAGCGGGGTTGTTCCAAACAGTCAGAATACACAATAAATTGTCTTTTTTTGGAACAGGTTTTAGGATTGAGCAATTTTAGTTTTTTTTTTCATCGAAAAGGGATTTTCCGAAATTGGCTTTCCATTCCTTATATTTTTGGTGCTACATATTTTTTAAAAAATATATAATATATTTTGGGGGTTTGGGTTCTGCTTTCTTAAAATCACTCTGTAGGCCTACTACTATAGAACGAAAAGGTGTCAAATGTTTCCTTTTTTATTTTTTTATTTACTTTTTTACACCGGCAAAAAGAAATCCACAGAAAAATACTAGTGACTGCAGGCGTGCAACAAATTTATATGACTCGCATCATTATCTCAAGAATGACTAAGTTAATAATTATCATCTTGCGGTAATTACTACACTGCAAATGTTCCTTGAATTCTGAATGAAGATAAGTTTAAGTTAATCGCTATGTACCAGGGCAAGAGGCGCTGTGGTTCGATAGTAACGCATTTCGAGTCGAGTGCAGTATAGTACGTGGGTTCAAACTCTGATGGGAAACATGGTGCTTTTGTTTTCTTGGGCAAGGCACTTTATTACGATTGCCTCCCTTCACCCAGGAGTAAAATAGGTACCTGGGAAGGTAATGACCAGAAAGCGGTAATCTGGGCCTGCTGCTGAAAAAAATGATCTAATGGCCTGACGAACTGGGGTAACAGTCATGGGCGTCGCCAGGATTTTTTCTAGAGGGGGGCAAACAATTTTTTTGCCAAAAAATGCTTGTATTTCTCAACACATTCTCGATTTATCAGTTTTAGAGGGGGGCAGGGACATTTTGCCCCCCCCAACTCATTAAATTTACACCACTTTGTCTTCGCGCCTCTTTTTCTTTTCTTTTTTTCCCTTTTTTTTTTTTTTTTTTGCTTTTCCGGGGGGGGGGGGGGGCAAGTGCCCCCCCTTGCCCCCCCCCCCCTCGCGACGCCCACGGTAACAGTTGTTAAGCAATTCAAAACCTAAGGTATAAAGCACTAATATAAGCACAACATTCTTATTTTTTTTACGAACTCGCTAAAAATAACAGATCAGCGAGTTGCCCTAAAGCTCACGTTATCAACTATGCAAAATTAATGTGCGACTTAGCCCTTTTCAGATGAGGCAAACATAGGGGCGCTATTTTGTCGTGGGTAGAGGAATAAATTACAAGACTTAAATAGCGCCCTCCTATCGTGTCTACCATAATTACATGTATATCAAACTGGCTTATAGTTGTACCAAAGAAAAGTGGTGACTCTCTAGCTCGCGGTACTGACAATCGCTCTTTTATTTTGTGTCCATGTTTATGTAGTATACCATCTCCTCCCCCCCCCCCCAAAATAACATTTCATATCAAATAACTTTAATCTTAAACACAAGAGATTATAATGTACCTGGTCCCTCCAACGGGAAGATGTTAGTGATATTTACTGCACTTGAACCAGCAATGATAGGATTGTGGCTACCGATGACTGTGCCGCTGTTTCCGATGGTTCCAGTTCGTAGTGGGGAATCTACAGTCACAAGCAAGAATCAAAATATCCTTAAAAAAAGTACACGATTCCCTCTGTTTTTATAAGATTTTAATGTGATTGCACATAGAAAAAAGAAATACATGAAAAACCAGGCTATGACTCAAGACATCTTCGGGTGAGGTGGGGAGGTGGAGGGTGGTAGTGCCCCTCCACTCCCCAGTAAGGTTATAAATTGACTTCAGGCAACTTGCTACTGTGTACTCACCTGGTAGACAGGGGGCCTGGTCATCAGCCCGTTGGCTGGCTGATGCAGATTGCGCATCCATGATACTTTGGATCACCCGCCCACAAATGGAACTTGAGTCCTGTCTGTCAATGATTAATGAAAAGCTGTGTCACATTTTGTTCGCAGGTACGTAAACTTGTGATTTTTTTTCAAAAAAAATGTTAAAACACACACATGGCCGCTGACAAGGCAAAAGGCAAGGCAAGCCTTTCTGAAAATGTGGGCCTCTCAATAAACCTGATTGACATTCGCATTGCATCATAGGTATGGATGACAAACAACCAATGCAGTTTATGTACAATCCTATTGGAGCAGTGAACCAGTCATGTCTTTTCTTTTTTTTCAATATTTTCCTAAATTAACTGATTATCTATTCACCTGGTAAAGCGTAAAATATTATGAGAAACAAAAATTGCAAATAAATTCAGTTTCTAAACTTTAGAAATAAAAGAAGGAATAACCTCGCAATTTATTGAGAAGTATCAGTCAGCAGGCCCAGTAGAACAATTGTGATTGATCAGTGTAGAAGCGTGAGTTTCACATCTTGATTATGATTGGTTGATTTTGGCAGATCTTAAAACAGGCTATTCAAGACATTTATTCTCTCTAATTTATATTCTGTTTGGTAAGGTGACTTAACTCGATCTACTTACTTCCATTGAGTTAGTGTTCCTTGTTGTCAAGTTTAGTTAAAATCTACCTATAAAAAAATAAAATACTTGAAAAACAACCCCGATTTCCCAAATTGCATGGAACATTTTTTTCAATACAGGCTACAACATTTTCTTTGGGGCTCACGATGTCAATCTATGGAGTTTGAGATGATAACATCAGGATACAACATTTGGGTCTGTATACTCATACCTCCAACTCATACTGAGACTCTGATATGTGTCGCGCAGACTCGTATTATTACATGTATTGGTATACTCGGACTTCGATACAGACTTTATGACTGGGACTTAACGGAATAAATTTTAATTACTTTAAGTCAAGAAAAACTAATACTTCATACGGTTTAAACAGGATCCTTAATGCAAGCGACCTGCTGTATAGCTATGAACTAGAGCTCTGCCTGTGGCCTTGAATTCGGGGCTTTGATAGCACACCTTTATGGAATGCAAACGCATTTATTATGCAAATGACCATAAGAAAAGATCGACTTCACAAGGTGTCATAGGTTGCTGCACAAGCATAATGCACCCATAGCCGGTGTCGAGTGCTGTATTTTAGCAAAGCAAAAGCAAGTTTGGCGAACGACGTGTCTGCCACGTAGGCACTCGGAGTTGATAGCAGGGTTATACATGTAAATATATGGAGTTCAATGGCGGATGTTTGAGTACGGTGTGTGTGCACTTGTGATACCTGCGTCCGTTCCATTCACTGCATGGAAGCCATTTTGTAAAATAAAATTGCGATACATTGCAATGACGCTGGTAATTACTTTTTTAAGTACATGTGCTTCAGCAGAGGCGGAGCCAGAAATCAGATGGGGGCAGACGCTTCAGTCATTAATTATGGCTTCTGGATTATTTTGAAAGAGTGCATCAAGGGGACAGACACCTTCGTGTGAAAATCTCTCCAAGTTTCGTTGAATTCTCAAGAGAGAACAAAAGGAATTACTCTTGCAATTGATGGTCTATATTTTCTTGCAGATGGTAATTTCTTTAAAAGTAATAAAATCATGAGTTTTTGACCTGTATGGTACACGTTCTTTCAAAGAGGCATTGGCACACACAGCCAAGAATAACAAATTAAATAGTGCAGTGAAAACGAGGTCATATTTATAAGGGGCAAATAATAGGTACTGGTTAGTTTTTGGCTGAATCCTCTACTGAATATTGGTGAGCCTAGACGAATCAGATCTCTGAGATTATGAAAAATAATTGCAAGTTTTTACTCCATGTATGCACATTGAATGTCACAATTCTATGTCAACATGAAAAAACATTGCAAAATAGCGCGAAAAGTGAGGTGAGCTAATGTAACACGAATAACTTCATCAACAACACAAAAATTGTTCACAAAGTTGTGGTTAACGTCGTGAGTTTTAATCTGGCATGAAAATATATTGTGTTTTTGTTAGTTTGAAAAAAAGTTGAATAAATGAAGCCTACTCTCGTAGAAAAAAAGATCATCGGCTGTATGTGTTTTAGATTTGTCGATCAATGGATATATTTTTTTAGAGACTCAAAATCTCAGTGGGGGGGGGGGGGGGGAGGGCGACTGGGGGGGGCAACAAGGTTTCTTGGGGGGGGGGGGGTTTCCACTCCGCCCTCCCCCCCCTTTGGGCACATTTTCTCCATGAGTCATGCCACCAGACTAATGAAGACGTCAGTCTCTTCAAACAGTTGGACATGTACTAGTCTAGTCTTAGATTCAAATCTAATCAAAAATTGAACTGAGACCGATGCATTTGCCTCTTGAAATGTTTGAAGAATTTTGTCAACTATTAGAGTGAGTCGAGCTGGCCTAACTTTAGTTTCGCATGTTTTTCTGCATCCTATCCTATCTAAAGTGTCTCAACTGAACTGGAACACACGGTTGGGACGATCCCAGTCAAAGTTGGGAGCATGGTCAATTAAGTTGGGGCGTAACACTAACAACTATACGGTGTTAAGTTATACACATGCAACAATGTACGAACATGAAGAAAAGACGATCGCTCAAATACGTTATGCAATGAGGAGGAATCGTATGAAAGTTTCAACTGGTGCACCGCCCTATAGGTTTGTGCACATATTGCCTGGTTTGTAATCCACATCCACGATGCAACGTGTAGGCCTATGGTTATCACTAAAAATCATGGGTCCACACGTAGTCTATATATCATTCAAAATCTAAACTTGTGCAAACATGACTAAAAGTTGTATGCCAGCTTCTATACTCACTAGAGTTTGCTGAAGTCCTCCGAGTTTGTCCTCCGAACTTCTGTCTTGCCGATCGAACTGCACCTTCAATATTGTAACTTTTAATTACAATTTGCAAGAGAGTTTTTGAAGTCCACAAAAGTAATGCAAGTTATTTCCTGTTTCGCAATGGCTATATTTCGCAATGCATTATGGAAATAACCTTTTTTTTCCCCATAAAAGTCAGGTAGATAAAACAGCGCCCTCTTTTTTGTTACATTTATTTATTCTGACTCCAACGTCGTTTAAAGGGTCTCCAGCGGTACGAATAGCCTATGTTATAGACGACGGCGAATGCCGTGGCCGTGGTCAATTACATATGAGCAGATTCGCTGATTTATGAGGCAAGACAACCGCCTCTTGACCTCTAGATTTGGACCAATCAGCGGGCGCTTTTTATAATCGGGTCTTCAGTCATTCACCCGTTGCGCGTCATAGACAATGGATAAAAAAACCTGTGTCACGTACTCTGTATCATGTAACGCAATGATGCGCCCGGCTGTTGTTGTATTACAAAAAACTGCATTCAAATTGACCAATCAAACCATTGAGTCCTGATTTGGGAATGAAATGACGTCACGAATGAGTAAAGTCGACTCCGATTGGCTGGCGCACGGCTTGCATATATCTGCATGTCTTGACATATCAGACGTTATACAGGAGACTCTTGGCTCCGTGGATAACGGCTGATACTCAGACTACAGTACGTACGCTCCTCCCACTGCCTGCTCTCTCATGCAATCCAGGTTGGCAATAAAGGAGACCCTGCGGACGAGGTTGCTATGATATTCTAAGTAGCCCCAAATTAACATCACGATTTCACCTGCAGCTTTAAGTACGCAAAAGTTCTAACGGCCACGAGCTTATTTTGTTTCGCTTGATCAGTTTGATATTGAAAGATGGATATAAGTGTTGAGGAAGTTACGTGTCGGGGTGGTTACGGGCTGGGGCTGTCAGGGAGAGGAGTGGCTTACTATTCTGACGTGTATGTTGATATCTGCTCGCTGGTAATCGAAAATGAAGTGAGGAATCTCTCTGCATAATCGAAATGACGAACAGCGAGGTTCACGAATAACATCATAGAAAGGGTACTCCCATGCAAGGTGCGTGGGAATCATTTTGTTCGGATTCGCATATGCGTTGCGTCCAAATATTATCAAGTGAAAGCTGTCATTTGAAACTTATTTTAGCAAATTTATCAAAGAAGAATCGCTTTGTTGGGCTGAAAAGAATAACATTATGATATGACAATTCTGAAATTGCGTTAGGTATCATCAATCTAAGCTTCAAGTATATCTATTTCAATGCTCTACTTGGAAAAGGAAATGTATACATATCACTTGTAAGTTGAAATACAGTGTTACAAGTTCATTAAATACTTCTGTACCCTAACCTAGGGACAGGCAATGGGACAGACAGGACAAAAGACTACAACAGCATATGAGGCTGCATGCAGGTGCTAAGACATAACAATACGAACTAAATTTTTAAAAATTGAAAGTTATGAATGCGCAACTTGAGGTTTTCATACAATGTAGCCTGTGATGAAACTTTTCCAAAGATTCACTGAGACTGTTCCAGTAATTTACACCACATTGAATAAGACTGTTTTGAACAATTTCGTTCGACTGGAACAGATATGGATATTATTTTCTGAAATCACTGCGAGTATTATGTGAATATATGGTTGATGATAATATTCGCGAGTTTATTCTGTAATGCTTTATCAGTATTAGATGCATGTATTTGAGCGTAGAGGATAAACGTGTCGGGGTGGTTATGGGTCGGGGCTGTCTGGTAGGGGAATTAGTGCACATACAGTGTATTACAAAGTGGTTTACTATTGTGACGTGTATGTAATGAGATTTATATTCTGTTTGGTAAGGTGACTGAACTCGATCAATTGCTTTCATTGAGTTAGTTTAACCTGTTAAATTTACTTAAAATGTCCCCATAAAAATACATGTACATAAAACCCGATTTCCCAAACTACATGGAGCATTTTGTCAACACAAGCTACGACATTTTCCCTGCGGCCCACGACATCCATTAATGGAGTTTGAGCATACAGCATTCAAGTACGTGTTATGAGTTCACAATACAAGCCAAATAACATCACACCAAATTATCT